CATTAATTTAGATATTTTGAACCAGGACTTAAGGAAGGACTTAACTCTGAGGTACTGACTGCTACCAGTTCTTACAAGCACTCCATGGGTGGGATTTTCAAAAATACTCTGAGGTGGCCTGTGGGAGAATCCCATTTTCCTTGCCTAATTCAGAGGGTGGAATTTACTTTTCTACACTTACATTAATGAAACAGGACAGGCTGTAGCAGATAATAACTGATGTCACCACAATTTGAAAAGCACATATTGAAATAAAAATATAATCCAGTCTTACAAATTGTGAAACTGGACAGCCTGCAACCATCTGGCACTCTGAAAACTTCTGTAAGGACAAGGTTTTTTCTCTAAAAGTACCACCCTCTAACTGCAACAGTCACAGAAAGCCCTTTCTCAAACTGAACTTTATTAATTTTTCCAAATACATGTGAAAATATAAATGCTATTGCCAGTGCAAGCCAAAATATTTACAATTACATCCTTAAATCACACCCTATGTCTGCTTGTATGAATATGGGCAATAGCAAAAACTGTGCATCTCAAAAAAAAGTATGGAGAGGTTGAAATCAGTTCACAATGAAGTTGCATGCCAATTAGATTTCCCTTGACCTGGCTTTGAAGGCCCAGTAGAGGACTCCTACTGAGACGGACTCCAGTAATAGGTATTCCCAGTCTTAAAAACTTGGTGGGAACCATCAATTTTTCTGTTTAAGGCAAGCAAAACCACTAATTTAATCAAAGTTGAACCACAGGAGGAAATAATTAAAAATTCCTTCATGAAGATAGTCTTCATGGGGACAGGATATCACCTCTTAGCCTGCTAATTCACTGAAGGAATACAGAAGGAGCTGAAACGCTATGCTTGGTTGTGTAAGTAGCATTATTTATTTATTTATTTATTTATTTATTTATTTATTTATTTATTTTCATTTATAGCTGCTAATATAGGTACTAATGCAGGTCTTCAGGGGCAGAAGTATCCAGAGTCAGTGGATGTAGTCATGTGAGGCTCTGCAAGTTGAGCTCAATTTTTGACCTCAAATCAATTACGGAAAACATCACAGTCTTCTCTTAAGTCTCATTTTTACTACCCCATGGACAGACAGAACTGATGATAGGCAGTTTCTGCTCAGATCTTCCTTTCTAGCTTTCTAGAGGTGTTCCAATTCAGTGCTTACATGTGACAGAACTAGCTCAGAAACCTTAGGGATTGCATTTATACCTACTGTTACTTAGTAAAAAACCAAGCAAGTGTCTAGTCTAAATAGGTGCTTAACTTATTGGTGCTTAATTATTTTTTTTTATTTTCTTTTTATTATTATTTTTTTGATGAAAATAGAAAATAGGCATGTGTTCTTCTGAAAAAAGACACTTCTTCAAAAAGGGCGGTCAAAGTGACTGCTCAGACCAGCATGCTGCATTTAAAACTCACTGATATTTTTTTGCAGTGTAGGAAGTCTAGGAATCATGATTGCTGTCATGATTAGAGCTGGGCACAGAAACACTGAATGAAACGTCTGTTCCCCTGAGTCTGCTCATCAGTCAGAACGGAGAAGTGCCATGGGACTTCAGCTGTCTGGAAAATGTTCTGGTAGAAGCTAACCAGGCTGCCTTCACCTCCTGCCTGCTCCCCTGCTTGCTTGGCTTCCTATGCTTCGGTGCATCTTCTGCTGATAATGCAGTTTCATAACAATTTTTTAAGCAGACAGTACTCAGATTTTGAAATGGAAAAGTTCTCTGTGGGAGAGAATTATTCTTCTTCCTACTCCTTTCTGGTTACTTAAATTTCTGTAATGTCCATGACTGAGGCTATAATTTTCCAATGTGGACTTCTGATGAGAGGTGAAGTGATGCAGAAAGCTGTTATAAAATTGACTAATGTAGAGGTAAATGCAAAAATAGGTATTTTAAATAACTATTTCACTCTATAAATAATCTGTCAGTTTATGGATTGTTGAAGCCAGCTCATTTGCTAATATGGATGGAAGTGATGACAAGATAAGTGTGTCCCAAAAAGATGACAGTCTTTGGACATAAAATAGATTGAATTTTACTTCACTGAGTAAGAAAATTAGCACTGAGCATATATGGCACATAATTATTTTTCCAGGGTCTTTCCAAAGAAAGAATATGCTTTTACTGCGCAATAAAATCAGCTTTAAGAAATTATACAGCTGTGCTAACACATACAGGATGCACTCTATGTTCCTCGTTCTTTGTGTGCTTTTCCAGACTGCAGTAAATCTTCAGGGTAACACTCTTAAACTTAATTTTGGAATATTTTTAACAAACTTGTTCTAATTATCTAACAGAACAGGCAGGTGGGTGGTTTTTTTTTTGTTTGTTTGTTTGTTTGTTTGTTTTTTTAACTCCCTAATTTTATTTTTTATCATTCAGTTTATTTTCCCTCTATGGTACATCATGATGAGATTTTTTTCTACCTGCCAAAGTGAATGCAGTCTTTCTGACTATATTTTATTTTTTCCAAAGAAAGTTCGTTTCTTCTTATGAAATTGTAATATTATGAATAATAAAGTGTGACAAAACTGTAGTGCACTAATTGAAGAAGTACTGTGAATGGTACAGTAGTCAAAGAAGACTACATTATATGGGCAAGAAATGTCTTTGTGGCTTTGTGTTTGATTGTGGGACAGTTTCTCAGTGAGAGGTTGTCACAGACATTTTTCTATCTTGATTATTTTTCTAAGGCTTTTTAACTACCATACTTATACTTACCCTCTGTCTGTATGTAACAGTCCCTTACAGAGCAAAATTTAGGAATAATAGGAGATCTTTCAGAAAAGACGGATTCTTCAGGGGTTTCCTTTAAAAAGAAATATCAGTTTTGATCAACTCATCTTTTCCTCACCTTTACCTTTGAATATGAATTCTATCTCTAAAACCTTGTGGCTGTCATGAGTAGCCATGAAATCCAAAGCTACACCTTTATGGTTGTTACTTTGTCTGCGGAAGACAGTAGCCTAGGTCAGTATTGCCACAGGCTTTTCATATAGTCAAATCAGAGCTTTGGTTTGGCACAGGAATACAGGGAGTAAAAAGAAAGTGGCTGTCAAGCAAGCAAAGGTAATGCAACTCTACTCCATTTTCAAATATTACTATTGAAAAAAAATATTTTCCTCTCCTGGATAGATGGATAGATTATTTTGTATTTCAGCACTTTTAGTTCTCTCTCTCTTTTTTTTTTCTCTTTCTCTCTCTCTTTTTTTTTTTTTTTTTTTTTTTGTTTTTTTTTTTTGTTTTTTTTCTGCTTAGGTGACCTTGACTGAATAGCAAGTAGACAAGCACAAACCTCTGAGAAAAGCCAGTATTTCATTCTGGCTTCAAATCAGACTTCTTCTGCAGAAATTTATTTTCATGTCTGAAGTGAATTTCTTATTGTTTTTGACAAGGATGGGAACTAGATCTGGCTACCTTTGTCCATCAGGCTTATGTTCCATGACTTGATTATTTTACTGTTTTTAATATTTATCCATTTTTAAAATTAAAGATGTCAGGACAGGGCAAGGAAATATGGGTTCTGTGGTCTGTAGAGTTTATACTTCTTCCATTCCTCTGTTGTACTTTTGCTTTAGGGATCTGGGCAGGTTATACAGTAACATTTAGAATTTACTTTGCACTTCCAGTAGAACTGTTTTTCTGCACCTAGGAAAGCCACTTCTGGAAAGACATAAAACAGGCTCCTGCTTATCTTCAGGGTCTTAGCTTTCATTTAAAACAAACAAATCGAAGGACAAATTACAGAAAGAGAAAGAGAGAAAAATAAAAGTGATCTGTAGACTACAACAGTGAGCATTGTAATGCTTAACTTTTAAACACCCAGATTCCCTGTGGATTCCATGGCAGTTGTCACTCAGTGTTGAGGACAAACACCATCCCATGCAGGGAGTGTCTTAGTCAGCATTATCAGTAAACAGCCAGCAGGTTGCCAGAAGGGAACAGCCAGCATGCTGTGGCAATTTTCCAAAAGAAAATATTTATTCTCACTGTTTTTTGTTGGTGGTGGTAGTGGTTGTTTGTTTGTTTCTGTCAATGCTGTACTGTATTAGGTATAGTCTTTGCATGTCCCCTTGGTCAGGGTGAAAAAAGGTCCGTTCCTTGTGTTACCTATGTGTAAGTTAGGCATCAAGTTCATAGGATCATAGGGTAACTCAGGTTGGAACAGATTTCAGGCATATGAGGAAGCAAATTAGATACACAGAAAACTTCATCAGAAGATGCACATATAGAATTTAGTCTATATCATGGTTAGATGGTAGCTAATCTGAGCTTTCCAGGACCATCATTCTAGTTTCTAATATCCCTAATCAGCATATAGATTTACTTCATCCCAGAGTGGTCTCTCAGTTTAGGGATATAGGGGTCCATCATCATCAGAATTTTAGAAACCTCACTGTAATCTTTCCTTGTCATTTTGTCATGCTGGCGATATGCAATGACAGCAGAAGTAACAACAAACATTGGACAAACCTGAACATGTAAAAAAGTTATGTTACCACAGAACATTTTTTTAACTTAAACTTAAATGTGCCAGGGATTTCTGTGTAGCCATATGCCTGCATGGTAAGCTTTTGGTGGGAATATTGCTGCCTATCCCCAAGCTTGCAGGGATGAGAACATAGGAACCAGGGTTGATCACAAAAACTCAAGGTGCTTTCAAAGGTAAACGCCTTATTTTTTTCTTCTTCATCTTCTTTCTCTTTATTTTATATGTTTATTTTTCTGTTTTCCAGTGCCTAAGATGTCATCTTCTTGTTATCTTAATGGAATATAGCCTTTACTGTTCTTGTTTTGTATGATGTTGTCTTTTCAAACCTCTCATTACACAGGTGTCTATGTGTTTGAAAATGCACACAAATATTTGGACTACAAATGTAGAATGAAATGACATTTCTCTAACATGAACTATCTCATTAACTTATAGGATGCTAACTCTAGTTCTTTGTTCTAATACTGCAAATGTCCACTTGTTAAATATTTTAAAGTTCAGAAGACTACGTAAGTGGTAACTGCTTTCAAAAGTATGGAAAATCTTGAAGTAGGAGACAAGTATTTCACAGACAGCAGATATGAAGAATTCTAAAAGCACAGAAACCAGAAATGAGCGTTTCAGAAGACCAGTCATATCTGGTAAGTATTTTGCTTGTTAAAGAAAGTTAAAGTTAAAGAGATTTAAAGATTCCCCCAAAACATCCTGTAAAATCAGACCACTTACAGAGAAAGCTGGAATTAAACTTATAGCTTTGGTATATGGCTCTCCTTTGAAATTCATGTGTTTGATCTGACAGGTACTATTATTATAGGCGTTGGTTTTTAGTACAAATAACACATTATTTAATCATAATTGCATAGAGGAATGTTTATGTATCCACCAAATTTTGTAATGTAGTAGTACAGAATATGCAGAGGGATGTCCTGCAAAAGTATCGTTGCACTGTAGCTGGCCACACTCTCCCAGGACAACTTCAAAATGCATAGTAACATGTAGCTAAATACACCTCCACCTTCTAAGCAAAGGGTGGTGGTCCCCAGCAAGTGTTCTTCTTGTGTTTTTATCCTATCCAAGCAAAATATTATCCCAAAGAGATCCTATGATCATGTTCCAGTCTCCCTCTATTCACACCACTTCACAGAAGATGTGGAATTCAGGAGTAATCACATCCATATACTGTTAACATGCTAGCAAGGATGAGGAACCAGACCTTATGTTAACCAGGCTGCCTTTAGGAGCTTTACCAGAGCTATAGTCCAGCAGAACCATGCTGTTAATGGCATTTAATGCCTTTTAGCAGCAAGGTATCTTCAGTGATTGTTTTTTAAAGGAAGTAAATATGTGGACACAGTTTCATCCAATCATCTTAGGAGATCAGAAGAGTCACAGTCACAACACTTTCTCTGACAACTTGTCCTTCTTTTTCTCAACGGGAAGATGAACCCTACTGCTCACTTTGGTGTCACTGCTTTGAGGTTTAGCATGTTATAATTCAGAGTGGGTGGCAATTCTCTCCTGACCTCATCATAAGAAAGAAAATGGAATGTCAGTGTTGCAGATAAATAAATCTTCAGGCTTCCCCTGGGTCCAAGAGAAGATCTGAAAGATGAACTGTATGGCTTTTCTGCACTGCATTCAACAGAGAGGTATTGACACTCACATGAAGGGAGTCAGTGACAGGGCTGGAAACAATCTATTTGTGCTGTGGTCAGCTCTCAATTGCTCTCTCAGGGGAGTCCTGCCCATCCTAGCACCCAAGCAAAAATGTATAGGCATGCCCATACTCATTCCCATCTTCAAGTATGCTTAAAGTTTGATTCACCACCTATATTCCACTTGTAGCTGGACTTTCAAAAGCTTTTAGTTCCAAAGTTAACAGTTAAAAACAAATTAAAAAAAAAAACTTTTACACAAGTAAATAGTACTATAGCCATCTCCTTATTGCCTGTCCTAATGGAGGAGGAGGGGCAAATAACACAGGAAACTATTATTATCAGTTTAAAATTTTACTCTAAAAACATATTTGGTAGATTCACCTTTTAAATACTTTTCTCTGTAGAGAGAGTGGCAGGAGGAAAAGAAAGCCATAGAGTAAAAATTGAGTGCAGTGTACTCTTAGCACAGACATACAGCTGAGAGATATCTGTGCATTAAATGGTAGCTTTTATTGTGATGCTGGAAGAGAACAAAATTTCTGCCTCTAAGACTTCCTAAGTTCACTACTGACCTTCCTAATGCCAGAGTACACTGGCTATTACCCAAATGAGGTAAACGGAGTTAACACATCAGGCCATGCAGTATAATGACTGAACATTCCCATCAGGAAAACTAGAGAAGCAGCAGCTGTCTCTGGAGTCTTATTAGTTTTTAAATAGAAAAGAGAACTGTTTCAGTCAGAGACTTTTAGACCAGATTTCCACCTGATCCAGCAGAGCTTAAATCGCTTAACCTTTAGGCCATATTGCAGGATTGCTGTTATTACTTTAGGCTCTCCCTGGGCTGGTGGGTTGGGATGTGGGAGGAAGGGTAGGGTCAAACCCTGAATTTTAACCAAAGTAAAATATTTTTCTGTTTATTTTAAATCAAATTAGACTGAAATCATGGATAGACATGTTATGATGTCATATAATTCAATAAATAAATTTGTTTTTCCCTGTGTTTTGTAGATATAATTGTATTTCTATAAAGAGAAATAGTAAGATAGAAATGTATAGACATACACAAATAACTAGATAGGTTGAAACTTTCAATATAAATTTCAATTTAAAAGGTTTAGCAAGAAATAAACAGCAAGAGAAAATGCATCTTGGTATTTCCGCTGAAGTTTTCTTTGTTAGGGAAGCAAAAATAGAAGTGAGAGAAGGTGCAGGAGTGGCAGCTATTTCATTCTACCTGACTCTCATCTTCTTGGAAAAAGCTGTTTACAGAGGACATTTAGCATCTCTCTAATAAACCATTTGTAAGTATTGTGAAGGGAACAGCACTAAAATATCCTGAACAAGACCTCTGATTCAGGAAAACATTAAGATGTGCCTAAATGATTTACTGATATATTTGAAACATCAGCTATCAATAAGAGCTCATTTTCTTTGATGCCGTGCAAACACCATCCCTTTTTGTCTCACAGCAAGAACCTGGCTAATCTAATAAATCTTTTTAAAGAGTCCAGTACTCCATTCTTTGTTATTAGCTTGCCCAAGTCACTTGACTTCATTTATGTTATATTTGGATTAACAGTGTAAAAAAAATCTGCAATTTTTTTCAAACTAAGAAGTATGGAATGCAATGTCTGAGGGGAATTGCAGACTCAGGTAACTGTTTTATCAGGGTGTTTTCTTTCTAGAGCTGCCTTGAATTTGAAGTTATGAAAGTAAAATTCTTTTTCTCTATCAATGAACATTTCACTAGAGCTCAGTTCCACTTCATATTTACTACAAAATAGTTCATGAAATTGGGTTAGAAAAATGTGCACGATTTCCCATAACTGTAGAGGAACTCCTTACTTTTGCCATTTACTGAGTGAGTAGTTCCCTCAGGCACTTGTCAGAGTGTGGGAAAGCTGCTTTATTTCCCCCATCTTCTTGAAGAAAACTTCACTCCCATTTCCTAGCTTTCAGCTTTAAAAATCCTTTTGCTAAATGGTTATCACAATGCTTAGCTAAAGGAAGGGACACTCTATTTTTTTCTTGGATGATATCCTGTTTTCCTGAAACAAATCAATAAAGATTGATTGCTAGAGCAAGCACGGACTGTGGCAGAGGCAGACCCAGGTGCCAGCTCTGGGATCCAGCTGCCAAAGTGAGCCACCCCTCTTGCCCATGTCTCACCCCTGCGGTGCCAAAGTGGGGCATCCATGAGCAACACTGCCAACTGGAAAGGCGGGAGCAGGCCTACAAACCCACACCCAATCAAAAATACAGAGCATTTGTTATCCCTGGTTTATGTTGGCTGCAGTTTTTGGCAAACCCAGACCTAAACCTCTGGGAATCTAATGGCTATCCACCCGCACAGGAAACGTCTGCACTTGTGTAGGAAATACATTGTCCTAGGAACGTGCTCCTCTATTAGACATTAGCTCAGTAGATAAATTGATGTGCCTAATATCTACAGTCTGCAGCCTTCTCTAGTGTAGGCTCATGTCTGTGGCTGATCATGGAACAGACAACTAAAGACTAAGGATGACCAAGGGAGAATGTACATGTATAAGATTACTGGTGCATGATTTTGAAAAGAACTTACAAATATTACAAAATATGACCAGTATTTCAGAATTACTTTTTCCTATAAGGTCTGATTCCATGAAAAAAAATATATTATAAAGGTAAAACGTCTGATCTTCAGACTCCTTGTGCTCACAAGTAATCCTTGCAGTCCTACTGGTTTAGTCCTACTTAAGCCAGGTAGAAAAACATATGTGAGATTGGATTCTTATCTGGATCAGGAAGGCACTTATGGATTTATGTTTATTACTAAGTATATTCTGGCTGCTGTATGCTCCATGCTTCTGAACAGAGAGTTTATTTTTTAAATTTTGTATCAAATAATGAGATAATAGTTACAGATGTAGTTATGATAGTGATATATATATATATAATTTTTAGTACGTGTCACATAAATTTAGCTATCCTAAATGTGCATCTAACATAAAATGTTTTGCAGGATAAGTTCAAAGGCACTAAAAACATTTCAGGGGCCAAAGCTATTTCTTGTTACTCCAGGTGGAAAAGTTTCATTTTCCGTTCTCTCTTGTTGCAATCAGTGTTGTCCAAGGAAAAAGGCAAGGTCAAAGACAAACAACTGCAGTACAAGGTGGTAGTAATGATCTCCTTTATCACTATTACTAAAACAAAACAAAAGTTTCTTTTTTCCGTTCCTGATAATTCTTATGTGAGATAGTAAGTTATTTCACTCTTATCTAAGTGAAAATTTAATTTTCACTAACTTCAAAACAACCTTTTCTGACCTCATTCTTACGGAAAAGTCTTCAAGGATTTATAGGACTTTCATCTATAGAAATTGAACCAAGATTTTATTAGACAACTGTTAAATGAATAAGGTTCCACCTCAGGAACAAAAGCTATGGGAGGGTTCAAAACTCTCTGGAATTTGTTGTATTAGTCTCTGCAGGAGATTTCTGTAGCGGAAAAGATACATATTGATTGCCTACATTATTTTGTAAACTTGTTTCAATATATGTTATATGAGTCTTAGCCCTCTACCTTTCTCCATGTCATGCACTTAAATTTTTAAATTTCTGAAGGTTCTTAGTGGCTTAAACTGAAACACATATGTGCCCCCATGGAAGTTAAAAAATGCTATGAAGTCCTAATCTGATATGCCACTGTATATTCCCATAACTAATACTGTATGTTCTTCATCTTTTCACCCTTTCACTAAAGGGGGAATTTAGATAAGACCTACCTAGGCTGGGTACTCCAGAAAATGAAACATTTACTTTTTTGTTTTGTTTTGTTTTGTTTTGTTTTGTTTTGTTTTGTTTTGTTTTGTTATGTTGTTATTATCATTACTAGAATTAGGACTGCAAAATGCCAAAATAAGCATGGTAAAAGCATAGGTCTTATAATAACAACTCAACATTGACTCCAAGAGGATTTAAATCAAAGTGCTTGCAAGGAACTGCCAACTTCAACTGCAAAATTGTGAAAAAGATTTAATTAGCATGGCAAACTGACAAGACTGGAACTACATGTATGTTGGGAAGCAAAAAGAAATAAAAAATGTTACTGTAGGTTTCTTTCCAGCATAGCACATGAGAAATGTGCTAATAGCCACTCTGATAAACCTACTACCCCCTCCCAAACATAAAGCTACTATTTATAGTGTATTTGGATTTTAAAGTAACCTCCTCTTATTTAGTTTAAATGAGCATGTCTCCTTAGCAACAAATGTCACCTCGTTAAAGTCTGTCACTAAGCTTCGCATCTCAATGAAAGATTGAAGTAGGAAGGGGACCTTGAAGCAGCTAAAAGGAAATGGGAAAAAATGCGAGGAATGTCAAGGGCCCTCCAGGAATATCAGATAAGAGAAGTAATTGAAAAATGAGCTCATTAAAGGAATAAAAATATATTGAAGTGCAGTCGTTTAGGACTAAACATAAACCTGGATTTTCATTCTCTTGTGTTTATCATGGTATTTTAAAGTGCATTTTTGTTTGTTTGTTTGTTTCTTAGTCCTCTCAGAAAGGAAAAACGGGATATATATATAATTTATTTTAAGTAACAAGTTTAAAGTAATCCCGAGATTTTGAGGTAAGAGTCTGTTAATATTGTTCACTATTCACAAAACAGTGTGGGAAAGTACAAGTTTGGAAAGGAAAGTACCATATCCCGTCATCAGAAAAGTAGGATCGAAGGAGAAGGATTTTTGAGAATACTCAGCAGTTGTAAGTGTTGCTGAAATTTCTTTGAATAAAAGCAGGTTGAGGAGAATACTTATGACTCCTTGTAAATCCAGTTTCCTTAGGCCTCTCTAAAGCACAAGGATTCAGGATCAACCCCACAAACCACTAAAATCCCCATGGAACATGATTTAGATAGTCACAAAGATTCAGAGGCTCCAACAGGGCTGCTGTGAGGTTTCCTGTGCTTGAAACAGGTGTCGATTGTAGATGTTCCTGGATCAGCCTTTTGGGGCAAGTGAAGTTCTTATCTCTGAGACTTTCTAAACTTGGTTATGTGAAACAACATTAAATGAAAGGTGATCTGCACCTTTTCCTTCAGTCTGGGCCAGCTGGCTGAGTGGAGTGTCCAAGCACAGAGCATCCTCATGGCAAGGCATAACCAGAAGCAGGACCATGATGGAGAGAGTGAACCTGTACTGCCATCAGAAACAGAGACTTTTCTAAGTTAATTTCCCAGCCCATGTCTCCATCTACTCTCCCCTTGCCACAAAAACCTCACAGAATCACAGAATCATCTAGGCTCGAAGAGACCTCAAGATCACCTAGTCCAACCTCTGACCTAACACTAACAAGTCCTCCACTAAAACATATCACTAAGATCTACATCTAAACGTCTTTTAAAAACTTCCAGGGACGGTGACTCCACCACTTCCCTGGGCAGCCCATTCCAATGCTTCACAACCCTCTCAGTAAAGAAGTTCTTCCTAATATCTTAATATCTAAACTAAACCTCCCCTGGTGCAACTTTAGCCCATTCCCCCTCATCCTGTCACCAGGCACGTGAGAGAATAAACCAACCTCCACCTCACTACAGCCTCCTTTAATGTACTTATATAGAGCGATAAGGTCGCCTCTGAGCATCCTCTTCTCCAAGCTGAACAAACCCAGCTCCCTCAGCTGCTCCTTGTAGGACTTGTTCTCCAGATCCCTCACCAGCTTTGTTGCCCTTCTCTGGACTCGCTCAAGCACCTCAATGACCTTCTTCTAGTGAGGGGCCCAAAACTGAACACAGTACTCGAGGTGTGGTCTCACCAGAGCCAAGTACAGGGGGATAATCACTTCCCTAGCCCTGCTGGCCACACTGTTTCTGATACAAGCCAGGATGCTGTTGGCCTTCTTGGCCACCTGAGCACACTGCTGGCTCATACTCAGCCAATCCACCCATTGCCTCCCCAGGAGAGACTGGGGCTTGGGTTGCCTAGGGTGTTTTTCTCTTGTGGTGGAATGGGTTCAGTGTTTCCCAGTAGGCTGCTTTTTCTTCATGTTTTCTACCATCTCCATGAAATAGTTTTAGAGACTCTATGAGCTAGTTACATTGGTGGTGCCTTCTCAGTACAGTAAAACCCTGGTGGCACTATTTCACTGAGAAGCACTTTGGAAATGACTCAAGCTCAGAAACCAGCAGGTATATGTTCCTGGGTTCTATGGTTGTTTAATGTTGAGGAGTTTGAGTACTTCCTTCACCTTGTCTATTTTCCATGAAATTACTTACATGGATTCTAAGCTCCTTTCCAAGCCTTGGGGAGGGGGTGAGGGGGAGAAAAAACCAACCAACCAAACAAACAAAAAACTCAGAAGCTGAAATGCACACAGGTAAGCCTGACTTTGAAGAATGTGCTTAAGTATTTGGAAGATTGAAAACCGGGCTGTGTGAAAAAGGTGCCTTAATGTGAATTCATATTTTGTCTTGTGGTAAGTAAAAGCAAATTTGGATGGATGCTGGTGACATGATTGCTACTTTCACTAAGTGGAAATTGTGAGAATGTGATGTTCATAAAAGAAATACTGTTTTCACAGTATGCAAATCAAAAGCAGTACACAGAAAGTCTGTCATCTTCCCTACAGGCCTGGGTCTCAGCTGTGGAGAACTTTCTGAAGAGGTCCACCAGCTTAAAGAGAATTGATCTTCCTCCCAGCCTCTACGAACTAGTGTCTCAGATATCAGGGGTAAGCATCCTTCTGTGCAAAGAAGATGACAGAGTGGGTACACATGCTGTGCAACACCATGATATTAGCTATGTGACCACGGAGAGAGAGGACAGGAGAAAAAGACAAATTTAGCAGGATGCTAGATGCAGGGGGATGTGATTTACAAGGGAAGAAAAAACTGGGAAAAAGGGGTTTCTTAGAAACTTGTTGCTCCAACTTCGTGTGGACAGTGCTTGGTCAGCACCTGAGCACACTGCTGGCTCATTCAGCTGACTATCCGCCAATACTCCCAGGTCCTTCTTTGCCAGGCAGCTTTCTAACCACTCATCTCCCAGCCTGTAGTGTTGCTTGGGGTTGTTGTGCCCCAAGTGCAGGACCTGGCACTTGGCCTTGTTGATCTTCCAATAGTTGGCCTCAACCCATTAGTCCAGCCTTTCCAGATCCTCCTGCAGAGCCTTTCTACCCTTGAGTAGATTGACACAAGCACCTACCTTGGTGTCGTCTGCAAACTTACTGAGGGTGCACTTGATTCCCCTCATCCAGATCATCGATGAAGATATTGAAAAGAACTGGCCCTAATACTGAGCCGGGGGGGACACCACTAGTGACCAGCCTCCAACTGGATTTGATTCCATTCACCATGACTCTTTAGGCCTGGCTACCCCGCCAGTTTTTAACACAATGAAGAGTACGGCAGACCACGCCATGAGCAGCCAGTTTCTTCAGGAGAATGCTGTGGGAAATGATGTCAAAAGCCTTATTGAAGTCGAGGTAGACCACATCCACAGCCTTTCCCTCATCCACTAAGTGTGTCTCTTTGTCATAGAAGATCAGGTTCGTTAAACAAGACCTGCCTTTCATAAACCCATGCTGAGTGGGCCTGATCGCCTGCTTGCCCTGCAAGTGCTGCGTGATGACACTCAGGATAACCTGCTCCATAAGCTTCCCTGGCACTGAGGTCAAAATGACAGGCCTATAGTTTCCCGGGTCAACCTTCTGGCCCTTCTTGTAGATGGGTGTCACATTTGCTAGCCACCAGTCGACTGGGACCTCCCCTGATAGCCAGGACTGCTGATAAATAATGGAAAGCAGCTTGGCCAGTTCTCTAGCAGCTTGGCCAGTTCTCTCAGTACCCTCAGGTGGATCCCATCGGGCTCCGTTGACTTGCTTACATCTAAGTGCTGTAGTAGGTCACCAACCATTTCCTTGTGAATTGTGAGGGCCACATCCTGCTCCCCACCCCCTTCCACCAGCTCAGGGTACTAGGTATCTAGAGAACAACTGGTTTTGCCACTAAAGACTGAGGCAAAGGCATTAAGCACCTCAGCCTTTTCCTCATCTCTCTTCACTATGTTCCCCCTCCTCTGCCCCTCATCCAGCAAAGGATGGAGATTCTCCTTAATCCTCCTTTTCATGTTAATGTATTTATAAAAACATTTTCTATTATCTTTAACAGAAGTAGCCAGATTGAGCTCCAGATGAGCTTTGGTCTTTCTAATTTTGTCCTTATAATCCTTCTGAGTGGCCTCCCCTCTTTTCCAAAGATCATAAACTCTCTTGGTAAAATCATGGAGAAGATGGTTCTCGAACGTATTGAGGCGCACCTGGGGGACAATGCAGTCATTGGTCCCAGCCAGCATGGGTTTGTGAAGGGTAGGTCCTGCCTAACTAACCTGATTTCCTTTTATGATAAGATCACCCGTATGGTGGACCAAGGGAAACCAGCTGATGTGATTTTTTTTGGACTTCAGCAAGGCTTTTGACACGGTTTCCCATAGGATCCTACTGGACAAAATGTCCACCATACAGCTAAATAAAAACATCATACGATGGGTGAGCAATTGGCTAACGGGCAGGGCCCAAAGGGTTATGGTAAATGGGGCTGCGTCAGGCTGGCGGGCGGTCACCAGTGGGGTCCCTCAAGGCTCCATTTTAGGGCCGGTACTTTTCAATATTTTTATAAACGATCTGGATGTAGGAATAGAAGGCATTTTGAGCAAGTTTGCTGATGACACCAAACTTGGAGGAGTTGTGGACTCGAATGAGGGTGGAAAGGCCTTGCAGAGGGATCTGGATAGGTTGGAGAGCTGGGCGATCGCCAACCGCATGAAGTTCAATAAGAGCAAGTGCCGGGTCCTGCACCTGGGACGGGGAAACCCTGGCTGCACGTACAGACTGGGCGATGAGACGCTGGAGAGCAGCCTAGAAGAGAGGGATCTGGGGGTCGTAGTAGACAGCAAGTTGAATATGAGCCAGCAGTGTGCCCTGGCAGCCAGGAGGGCCAACCGTGTCCTGGGGTGCATCAAGCACGGCATCGCTAGCAGGTCGAGGGAGGTGATTGTCCCGCTCTACTCTGCGCTGGTGCGGCCTCACCTCGAGTACTGTGTGCAGTTCTGGGCACCACAGTATAAAAAGGACATGAAACTGTTGGAGAGTGTCCAGAGGAGGGCTACGAATATGGTGAAAGGCCTGGAGGGGAAGACGTACGAGGAACGGCTGAGGGCACTGGGCCTGTTCAGCCTGGAGAAGAGGAGGCTGAGGGGAGACCTCATCGCAGTCTACAACTTCCTCATAAAGGGGTGTCGAGAGGCAGGAGACCTTTTCTCCATTAACACCAGCGACAGGACCCGCGGGAACGGAGTTAAGCTGAGGCAGGGGAAGTTTAGGCTGGACATCAGGAAGGGGTTCTTCACAGAGAGAGTGGTTGCACACTGGAACAGGCTCCCCAGGGAAGTGGTCACTGCACCGAGCCTGACTGAATTTAAGAAGAGATTGGACTGTGCACTTAGTCACATGGTCTGAACTTGGGTAGACCTGTGCGGTGTCAAGAGTTGGACTTGATGATCCTTAAGGGTCCCTTCCAACTCAGGATATTCTATGATTCTATGATTCTATGATTCTCTTTTTTTTTTTTTCCTAAGTTCTAGCCACAACTCTCTGTTCAGCCAGGCCGGTCTTCTTCCACACTGACTCATCTTTGGGCATGTGGGGACAGACCAAGCCTTTAAGATTTCCTTCTTGAGGAGTGCCCAGCCTTCCTGGACTCCTCTGCACTTCAGAACTGCCTCCCAAGGGACTACCAACCAGTGTCCTGAACAGCTGCCCTCTGGAAGTCCAAGACAGCAGTTTTACTGGTCCCCCTCCTGACTTCGCCAAGAATAGAAAGCTCTACCATTTTGTGGTCACTCTGCCCAAGACAGCTCCTGACCACCACATCTCCCACCAGTCCTTCTTTGTGAACAGAAAGTCCAGTGGGGCATCTCCCCTGGTAGGCTCACTAACCTGCTGCATCAGGATATTATCTTCCATGCTCTCCAGAAGTCTCCTAGACTGCTTCCTCTGAGCTGTATTGCATGTCCAGGATATGTCTGGGAAGTTGAAGTCCCCCACGAGGACAAGAACCTCCTTTTATCAGTGTCAGTCTTAGTGCCAGGAAGAAGCCTATGCCTTTGCCTAGTAGCAGGTCAAAGCCTCATCTCTCCTTTGCTTTGCTCTTAGTGACAGCTTGACTTCTTGGGAACCTGTGCGTTAGGATCAGAACTGATCCTGTTTGAATGGCCCTTGGCTGGCTGAAGCTGCTTTTGGACCCTTTGGGTTTTGGAAAATTAGACCCTAGAAGAGAGACAGTACCATTGTGGTGTTCTGTAATTTATGCTATGACTTCTGAGTGGCTCTATTCAGGCTAAGACTCAGGAGGACAGTGGCAGACAAACAGGAAGAAGCCTGAGAAGAATGCAATAATTCTCTTGGACCTCCCGGGAAGTTTGGATTGAGCTCAGGTGTTGACCAAAGACATCTGGGGAAGGATTTCTTACCTGAAGTTATTTACATTGACCAACATGTTGTCTGGATTGGTCAGTAATATCCTTGCTGACCTTGCTTTCGTCATAGCTCTTCCTCTGACTTCATTCCACTTCCTGATGATTTTTGTAGAAAATCCTTCTCAGAGCTGTTCATGAATCTGGGAGGTCCCTTCATCCTGTGATGAAGGGGTTTGCTAATTAAAGAGATCCATTCTTGACACTCATCCTGCAGCTCCCAATACCACAACTGCTATTTGTGAGTTTAGTCCTTTTGAAAACCACATGGGTAAACTATGTTGGCCTCCATATGAAATTTAATTATATATATATAATAAAAAGTCTTCTACAATAAACATTTTAGCCAATTACTTAACACATTAAAACAGGCAACCGTATGAAGTTGCAAGTAGCTTTAGTAACAGAACACAATGTATTTCATTCACAAGCTCCATACCTTACTACCTAGTAAAGGAGGTGCTGTGATTAGAAAGATTTCAGGTTCAAAGATGTCTTTTCCTGAACTTAATGGCAAAATTCCTATTCCTTTTTTGTAGATCCCAAAACAGATCAGACTTTGTTCTAACTTTTCCTCTTGGTACATCCTACCAAGATCTAGAGATGCAATCAATTTATATCCCTGTGGAATGACATATTTTTCCATAGAATATCAAAGTATTTAAAAGTATTTCTCTTGTAAACCCTATTAGCAGGATTGATAACAGCAATGAATCAGGCAAGATTTTAAGAGTAAATTTCTGCATGTCTGTGTAGGTAATGAAACTACACAATTTTTGCCTCATTAGTATAACTTCACCATAACTCCTGCTTCTCTGCATCCCTATTTGCTCCAGGTTTTCAGGTGAGTCACTTCTGCTGCATGCCTTTACTGTACTAAGAGAGTCTTACAAGTTATCCACCTGCAGCAGAGTGGCACGGAGCTCACATCACCAAAACCTGGTAGGACAACACATGCAGTGTGCTCTCCAGCACATTTAGACAGCAGAGAACACAGTGTGCTCTTTAACAGAGCATTTTAAAACCACTACACCTCAGTAAGCAGACTGTGGGTACTGTGTAAATAACTTGGTCTATGGTTCTCAGCTCACTTAGCTCTGGATTTGCATACAAGACAATGGTGGAAGCCTGCTACTTAAAGCAGAAGAGTATGACAGCACACACATGCACACACACACAAAACTTGGAAGTCCAAATATACTGTCTGGCCTCACTGACACTACTCAGGGTGCAGAAACTTGAAGCACTTGTTTTGTATTTACTGCTTGAATGCAGTCATTACTGGCATTCCATTCCCAAATGATAAGAGGAGATACGTGATTCATCTGGCATATGAAGATCCCTGGGGTTTGAGGTAGCCTTGCAGTTTTGATGCTAGAATCATATCTAGGCATAAATGACTGCTGACTTCATGGTTACTGGATTAGAGCTTTCTGGGAGAATTCATTCTTTTTTCCCAATTCTTTATTAAAAACAACTATTTCATAAAAGTCATTCTCATGTAAAACAAATTTGTAAAACATATCAGGCTAATGTTGCATCTTTGTATGTGGGAACCACACTGCTTTATCTTCTCCCTATTAGCATCACAGAGATCCTATGAAGAAAACTCTCCTGGAAGCCTCATGGGAGGCATACTTCACCTCTGAATGCTATTTGTGCTTTTCTTCTGAGCAATAGCATGGTGGTAACTTCTGACGGCAAATGGGGGCATTTTACTTCTATGGAGGAGCAGGCAAGATTTACACCTGTGCATGTAATAACTGGATGGCGGATGAGGGAGTTTACAAAATCCTAAGGAATTTATGATGCCCGCATAAACATAATTCACAGTATGTCTGAAGTCCTGTCACATAGCTCAAATCAAAATGCTAACCTTTTGCAGTATTTAAAAATACTTGCCCCCTCAAAATAATAAAATACACCTTCTGCATGATACTGTGGATCATGCAATGTTTTTGTTTGAAGACTGAGAAACTGGTCATATACAAACAGCTGCACCTGTTTAGGAAGGCACAGTTATCAAAAAAGACATTTAGAATCTTTTTAGAAAGCTATTTCAGATAATTATATTTTTAATAAGCTCTACTGTTTAGCCAGGTGCTTTGCCAAAAAGCAGATAAACCTAGTAAAGTGGCTCTGGTGAAATTTGGCTATATCTATGCATTTATATTGAAAGGTGTGTTTCTTCATCGGGGAAAGAAATATTTCAACAAATAAAACAAAGCTGGTGAGGGATCTGGAGAACAAGTCCTACAAGGAGCAGCTGAGGGAGCTGGGTTTGTTCAGCCTGGAGAACAGGAGGCTCAGGGGTGACCTTATCGCTCTTTATAAGTACATTAAAGGAGGCTGTAGTGAGGTGGAGGTTGGTCTATTCTCCCAAGTGCCTGGTGACAGGATGAGGGGGAATGGGCTAAAGTTGCATCAGGGGTGTTTTAGTTTGGATATTAGGAAGTACTTCTTTACTGAGAGGGTTGTGAGGCATTGGAATGGGCTGCCCAGGGAAGTGGTGGAGTCACCATCCCTGGAGGTCTTTAAAAGACATTTAGATGTAGATCTTAGTGATATGGTTTATTGGAGGACTTGACCCAGCCCCATTATTCAGCAAATATTTCTTCCCATTGGTTCCTTTTTCAGGACATCCCAATAAGAAATGTTTTTTTCTTATCTCAACCTCAAGATATGTTGAGAACATTATTACCAGGAAAGGCAAAAGTTTGTTTTCCAACTATGGACTCAAAGTGGGTTGAAGGCAAGAGGTGTCACAAGGCTGGAGCCAAGCAGTGCTAGAAAAGGCTAGGCCTTTTTTTTCTCTGTAGGATTATCTCTCTATAGAGGGTATAACATGTGATACCAGTGATATTATGTGATATTGTTTGATTCCTACAAATAGCTTCTATGCTGAGATATCTGTACTGTAAAGGTTCCTTGCTTCTTCCTCGTAGCCCTTGCACAAGACAACCACCCAAGTTCTGCACACTGGCTGGGACTCTCCGTCCTGACCTACTCCACAACCCAACTTACATCATCTTGAAAAGCTTCCTCTTTTATATCATTTGTTTTACCTTCCAGACTAATGAATTATATGCATCTTGAAAGAAAAATCTGAGCTAGGAAATGTGGAATGCCATGTGGAAAAGAGTCTTTTCCTTCTTTTTGTTTAGTAGTAGTTCAAAAGGGGACAACAGCAGATGCTTGAGAGCCAGCCAGATGGAGCAAGTACTATCTAATGTGTAATGGAACTGAGGTGCTTTTAGCATACCACACTCATTAGGTACTTGCAATCTCCAGCACCTCTGAGTGCTGCAGTCTAACAACCCTTTTGCACAGTGCTCTGAAAGAAGCTATGGTGCATTTTGACTTAATGAAGTTTCAGTAGATTTATTTTTTTTAAAGACATCTATTTAAGAACTGAGGAGTATTCTCTATAGCAACTTAGTTTTGCAAAAATGAGCTTTCACAGGATTGTTTTCCTACAGTCAAATTGTTTAACTAAAAAGGCATTTGTTTTGTATTGCAAACTGAGTGCATACCATCTGCAAGGCTTTTCTAGCTTGCTGTTCATAGTAAACACTACCTCTGAATATGGATGGAAAACAGAAGTTATCTCAGTTTTGGCATGAACGTGAGTAAATTTTCTATATTTTGCCTGTGACTTCCTACAAGCTAAAATGTGAATGACTGTATGTTGGAACACTTTGAAAAATATGGTACTTATCTGTGAGATAAGAAAATTTTATTCTGTGTATTCTTAGCTCAAAGTACCTGAGAACCTCCTCCTCACTGGGAGAAACTGGTACATCAACATTCACTACAAAACAAAAAATATTTATTTTTAACCTGAAAAATACCATTTGATTTAAAGAAAATGGAGAAAAATTAAGCAATTTGGAAGAAATTCAAAGACTGGGGAAAAAAAAAATTAAGCAAGGAAAAAATGATTTCTGCGGGATGCCTATTAGTGGATCACTCTTTTACCACAGATTTTATTTTATTAAATCCAGGAGAGCTGTAGGCAAGCACAGGAACCCACTCATAAAGATCTAATTTAAGACCAAAAATATAACAGGGGAATACATACATGTTTTCCAGCAAGCATATAACATTTTTGAGGGTGTAAACATCACAGAGGTATGATTTGAGCATAAATGAAGTTAACAACGAGCTACAAGAAAACACAATATTATGAAAAATTTCCTACTGATTACATCTAAGGAGAATTTTTGGCTCTGGAATAATCTCCTGAGAAAACAATGGGAGCCCCTATTGTTTGATTCCTTTAAACAGAGCTGAGAAAAAGCACTGGAAAAACATAGCTCAGAGAACAATAGTTTACTAGGAGAGCAATGGAAAAATGAGTACCGTCTTAGATCATTTAATCTGTCCATGACTTACGACTCTGTGAAGCCATACAGCTGCCTTCAAAATATGTTACTGGAGGTCTAGTTCATTGCATAATACGTGTAGACAACCGAATACTTGTGCTTATTGAGAAGCACAATGAAAAATACTTAGAGATGCTTTTTTCTGCAGAAAATAGCAATGTCCTTCACTAGATATTTTACTTTTTCCTTCATAGTTTACACAGAGGTTGTTTTCTGTTGTTTTTTTTTTTTTTTTTTTTTTTTTTCCTCCCCTTCAGGACAGTAAGAGACTGACGTCCTTCTTACCAGACAAATCTTCACTGATTGAGAAATTTGACACATGGCTTTTAAACAATATTCCATTCACACTACAGGTAAGTATCCCTGCAGTATTTGGGATCCTAAGGATCTTAACTGCTGAGCTGAAATACATCAGATGAAAATTCTGAGGAAGTGGCAATTTGAAATCTATTTCCTTATAGGATGGGAGATATGAATGCCTTGATGAAAGGGAGAAAGTGTCAATATTGGGGTTCAAATGCTAATCAGCTATTCATCTTCAGGAGCAGCCTGCAAGACAACAAGCAGAAGACACTTGTGTTGTTGTCATATAAAGCCAAATCTAGGGCAGGAATGCTGTCTGCTGCCATCATCACATGGATGTGGCCTTGCAAACTGAAAACATGTCACACCTCCATCTCTGTTGAAAGATATTCTGAAATGAAAATACAAGGTCATGGTGCCCTGGGGCCTTGAGTAAGGCTCTAATACCAAGGAAAGCAGGGGAAAGCCAAAATCTCAGAGTGCTCTGGCAAGGGAGAAGTCCCAAAGCAATGTGAAGATGAGGTACTGACCCCCAGAGCCCTGGAGGGGGTGAGCAGTCTGTCCTCAAAACACTGGAGTTGGGCTACAAAACCCCAGACACTAACACCAGATGGCCATTGGTCTAACATGAGGGGAAGCTGCCAGCACACTCTCCATCCTCCTCACCTCTCCTGCTTCTCCAGCAGCACCCTTCACCCACCCTCTGTGACTGCTTGCAGTGCTTTGCTGCTGGTGTGAGCTTGAAGGTGGAGCAGACTGAAATGTGTCACACTTGTTCTGAGTGATTTCCCATGGCACTGGTCCAATAACAAGCTGCCACTTCTTCAGTGCTCCCTTGTTGCATGGTAACTAGCACAACTAACAAACATAGATTATAACAAACTCATGGTAATGGCTATGAGGCATGCTCTTATATTGACACCATGCTGGCTGTTAAAACATTTAAGAAGATCAATACCTGTATCTCTACAACTTACTAGTGAATTTGTTTTAGGCTGCAACCATCTGCCTGGAGGAAATATTAATCTTAGTATTTTGGTCTTTGATCTAGCAGGGAAAAAAAAATAATTGCAGTATGAGTCAGTGGTTAAAAGCTAAGGCTGAAAAAATTCCATCTATGAAAAAAAAAATGCATATTTTTAACACTATAAAATTAATCACTGAGACAACCTGTATATATATATACATAAGTATATTTATAATCTATATAATATTAATGCATATAATTAATGTAGTAATAGGCACATTAAGACAACAATATAACTATATGCATTGTATAATGTATTATAAGAAACAACAACAAAATATATAACAACATATGACAGATAATGTATTTTATATAATGCAGTATTAATATAATACAATATGACTAATGTACATTATATATAAGAATAAAATGTTAGTGAGAATTCCAGCATTCTTTGAGTAGGGTCAGATTTCTTATTAGAAAGGCAATTTTGGAGGATCTCAGCCTTCTGTAGTGAAGTTAGGAGCCTAATGGAGAAATCTCTGTGTCACACTTTGTGACCTGATGTTAGGAACTGAATTCAGGTGATCGTGATGCTATTCTGATGTCAAGACAGGTGTGAGCTACAGTTCAAAGAGCAATTGCTGAAAGTAATTAGCAAGTAACAGCTGTGCAGTGGAGGAGCTGGTCTTCTTAAACTAGTAAAAATGGCTAAAAACCTAAATGCAAGATAGTAAATCAGAATCAGAACTTAGAAAAGAGGAAAATAATATGGAGGGTACCAAGTTGTGATTACATTTATCCCACATAACGCTTCTCAGTATTTCTGATGCACATGATACGGAACTATGCTGCTAGTTTATTGGTCCTGTGATTATCGATTTGTCTCATATAAAGGAAAATAAATGGATTTACATGAAGGACAAAGGGTCTTATGGGAAATGATAGAAATTAACACCTGTTTTAACAGAAATTTAACTGAAAGAATAGTGAATCTTCTATAGCTTGCAACCAGTTCAAACCTGAAGTTGAAGCACAGTCATCTGCTTAATCCAAAGAACTTTCTCAATGGTTAAGAAGAGTCAGCTGGATTTGGCAGCTGGTAATGGAATAACCAGAAATACATCACAGATGAACCCCCAGATAGCCTTCACAAAACCTTTATTTCTACTTGTGTGAGATCAAGATAAAGGTTATTACCAATAAAATAAAACTTTATTACCAGTAAAATAAGAAGCAAACTCAATGTTAAGGTTACTTCCATTTGTCAGTAGACAGTTCTATATCATCTAATGATATCTATACAGGATTCAAGTTTTTTAAAATTGAACCATTCAGTCTGAAAACATCAGTAAATACATGAACATAAGTCTCCATCACTTGCTATTGTTCTGTGATACAACATTTCATCGAGTAATCTTAAAGAAAACTCCATCTTATAAATGTGCATTCTCCATTTTTGTCCAATAACATCTCTATAATGAAATTATTTCCTTCTGACAAATAAAGTATCAATGCTTTCAAGAATCAAGATATATTTATGGGGTTACAATTTTGCAGCTACAATGCATGGAGCCATCTTTAAGATCTGTTCAAAGATTTTATTTCACTTGATATTGTCTTTTCTGTTGGTTTTTTATTGGGTTAAATTATGGTAGTCACACAGAAAACTAACTTTACATTCCTTAATTTAAGAAATCAAATAAAACTACAGTTATTTCTGATGTGCAAATCATCTTAAACAGGCACAGAAGTCATTGTGAACTGTAACAATGAAATACAAAAACAGGCCTGGACAAAAAGCAGTGAATAGTTCTACAAAGTAACAGCCTGGTAGGTCTGTACAAAACAGAGCACAACATAGTTGCTGGCTCTCAGCACATAGACCAGAGGCCCAAGACTGGATGAACCAAAAAGCATTTTAATCACCTTGATTTTCAATGATATAGTTAAGATTGTACAGATATTTCAAATCTACTATTGAAAATTAAATTTATTTTCATCATAAGTTCTTCTAAAAGATATCTTAAACTATCATCTGTGAATGACATGGATAACTGAAATAGTATACAAGATGGTATCTATAAATAGTATACAAGATGGTATCTATAAAATATTATTTTGACTCCTTTTTATGTAGCAGTGCTGGGAGAAAAAATAAAAAAAAAAAAAAGAGAGGGAAAAAAAAGCCACAATGCAACAGTTTCTTTGTCTCTAAATCACAATGTATAATACCCATATTATACATATGACAGCCTCAAAGTAATACTTTCAGATAGGGCACTTGCCTTTACAGCCTTAAAAGTTCTGTTTTATAGTTGTACAAAAAACTACTTACTCTGTATATGTGCAAAACTTTTAGACAGGAAAAAATATGGTTCTGTCTTCCAGCCCATAATGTTTTGCAAACCTATTGCTCCAGCTGTAAACTGCAGCTTTTGTTACAAATGCATACACAGAAACCTGTTGACCTGTTCCTTTTCCACTGTTCCAGCTAATGTGCTCCCAAGATAGTGCAGAAAATTCCAGTATAATTAGGTGTATGATGGTAGTATATTGTTGAGAATAAATACATAAATAAAAGGAGAGAAATACATGCATGGAAGCTTGACAACAGAAAGCTTCAGACCTTATCCCCTAGATTCAGAATATTTGTTGACATGTTTCACTACAGAATGAAGCTGCTAGCTCTCCAGCATATGAATTTGTGTTACCTCTCCAGCATCCAGACTTGTGTCTCATTCTCTTCCTGCAGGATTTCTACCTGCCTTGTGAGAAGAGGTGAGCTGTGCCCAGAAAACCAGTTCTGTTTTTCCATTTTTTCTATGCTGAAAGTATTTGTTTCTCTGAGGCTTAGGAAATACACACTTTGACTGAACTTCCTTTCTTGTAAAAGACCTCAGTGTACGACTTATCTGTTCCTTCCTCTTGCAAATATTTTGACTTGTGATGATTAGAGTGGCTCAGAGAGAGCAACACAATGTTTGCCAACATTATATCGCTCTTCCCTCACCTCCTTTCTACCCTTAAGAAAAGAAGCTCATCTTTCATTTGCTGTTGATGTTGATAACTTAGAAATCTGGAAATATTTCCAAGGTACATCGAATACTCATATATCATCAGTTCCTTCTTAATCTTAATCTAGCAAAGATCTTGTGTTCTAAATACTATCTCTTGAAGTGTATATGTTACATTCATGCTTCACTATGTGGCCTGGTCTTTACCTTGATTTCAGATCAAGCTTGACCTATGAAAACATACAAATCATCCCTACAGAAAAAGGATTTCCTTCTCCCCCTATTCACACAGCTGTGAACAGTACAGTCTTTTGAAGAGAAGGTCCCTGTCTGTAAGGGAAGGGTGCTCACTACAGAAGCCTTCTGGAACTCACTAGTGTCCTTGGCCCCCAAAACTTTAATAAAGTGATCTTCCATATATAGTGCACCTTCGTTAAAAAAAAAAAAAAAAAAAAAAAAAAAAAAAAAGGGAAGAAGATTTTACTTTGGCTAGCAGGTAAGGAAATTTATTCATCCTGCATATGCTGAGTTGTCATCAGTTGACTGTATTCCAGAAAGGTCACATATTGTTATTTACTTGGGCTGACTGTTAAGTCTCTCACACAGGTGACAGGCACTTAGGAACTTACCCATATGCCTAAAGAAGTCACCTGTGCAATTTTAGAGGTTCTGTGGTACCTGAGACATAGCACAGATCTATGTGAGGAGAACCATGTTATTCTGAATGAGCTGGATACCAGATAGGACATTTTCACCACTCTCTCTAGAAGAGTGAGGGGCGTACCTAAACCTGTAGTTTAGGTACCTAATGGGCACACATTTGAGTTCTTTCACCTTGATCCCTTCCCTTAAGGGGGTGGATAACTGGGCATCCTGCATATTTTCTTCTCCAGTCCCTAAGGTGACTTGAAGGTTTTCTATCTGAACAGTTTGCATGACTTTGCACACAGCTCTGAAGAGTAATTAGCCCCACATCTCAGGTCATCTGTCATGGGTCTTCCATGGACCTTTATTTTTACTGGACATCTCATTCAGTGACTGGCTGTTTGGGTAAAATAGGTGTTGT